TGGCCAGTTGAATAAGTGTGCGAGAGAGCTACGTGTTGTTACGCACATATATAGTACAGTGTTTGGCACCAAGGGAGTATCAAAGGTAATAATTTTAGATCTTTTAAAGGGATCATTGACGTCACGGAGTATCATAAACACTCTCACTTCAGGGCAGCGGGCCTCAAACATTATTTTTGGAACGTGCTGTGCAGAAACGTCAAGAAAGAAGAAAGCTGTTCACAGCACAGATTAAAGTACTGAAATGTCATCGTGACACCAGCATAACAAAGAATGGTTTACCTGAAAAATAAATCGAAGGAAACGGCCGTTCATAGACTATGACCATGTAAAGGTGTAGCCCTGCAATTGCTTGCTCTTTTCACTGCTGGAGGAAGGGCCTCCATTAAAGGAAGCTCTATAAACCCTCGAGGGGGTATTTGGCCTACTGTTCCACACTGGTCAGATATCTCGAGGAATGTAAGAGTACTCCACACTTACCCCACCATCAGCCACCTGTCAATCGACTCCAGTGTACACATTAATAATGCCGGGTGGACAGGCCAGGGGATTTAAGGAACTTGCAACCGTTGTTTAAAGTTTTCAACTCGCGCGCCAGGAGACTGAATCGAACTGGCGACCGCTGGATTGCAAGGCCAGTATGCTAACCATTACAATGCAGCAGTCATGCGGTTCATGTACTGCAGTATGCGTCACAGTATTTTAATTGCAAATATCCAATTTTACTGCAGGCAATAATGGATTTGGGTTTCATGTGTTTTCGCAGCCTTCCATTAGGCACATTAAAGCATTGTTTATTCATCTGACAAAGCTCAATGTCTTCATCCTTTTATGCTATTCACTTAAGTGATTTTTTTCTTTTTTAGAAATGACAGGCTATAACCGGATTTTATGGATATACGTTGTGTATCCATTGCTCATGAACTATGTTGCACCCATGTTGTGTGGTTTGATGTTGTTAATGCACTGCTGGATGAGGGCCCTCTCAACACCGTGCAGATCGTGGTATTTACACCTCAAAACGCTGGTAAGTGCTTGTTGGTGAAGTCGGGCAGCAAAAGAAGCAGAGGCATAGAAGTACAGTTCAACAGTTGATTTCACTGCATTGCCCTCTGCTACTCACCACGTTGCTCTGCAGCCTATAACAACCTGTTTGAGCATGGTGGTCACCCGTCCAAGCTCTATCTGGGACCCTGCCTAGCTTCTGAGATCTGACAAAATCGGGGACATTCTGGAGGATTTGGCCATAGACTTCATACTGTATTCACAGGGAATTCTAACTAAAGCTATTCATCAGCAAACTGTTACCAAAAGTTGAACAGCTTTGCTGTATTGTAGGTAACCACGTTTCAACCGTACCACACATATATTACTCTATCTTACTATTTTTTTTCCCAGGTAAGGCCCACTGAGCTATATAGCTCTTTTTCAGAAGCGACCTGGCCACAAATGATAGCTCAACGAAGTGGCTTATCATGTGGAAATGTATAGCAGCCAAATACTCTAAACGCATACAGTATATTCATTTAAACATGTTGCTGTTTTTTTTGGTTCTGCTAATATATTATAGGAATGTATTCTACTGTAGAGTTACAGTATTGGGGTGGAGCAGTAGCGCATTGCTGTGTACACTGCGCTATGAACCCGGCAACCTAAGTTAATTTATTGGTCATGGCTAACATCAGTGGCAAGTGATATCTGAACCGGTCCTGGACACCGCACCCTATTCACCAATCCGCACTGACCTGTGTGATGGAATATGGTCAATCAAACCCCATGCCCAACATGGCGTGGGGAGCACTTCATCCAGCAGTGGATTGGAAAATCGCTTTAAATAAGTACAGTATTACTGGAAGAGGATCCATGATATTGGTCACCCATATTGCCGTGTATCGGTCAGCTTATTGGTCAAAATGCCATTCTTTATCACAGCCAATTTTGTCCAACATCCAAGACGGCCATTTACACAGTATCGGCTGAAATATTGACCAACTTGAATGTCACTTGAGTTGTCATTGATTTTTCGCTAACGAATCCCACAAGAAACTACCTTGCAGTTGGTTACGTTGACAGAAAGTCACGCACACGACGGAACAAACAGCTGAACCAGGTTAGCTGATGACTTGGGCATTTCTAAATCTGACCCTGATCTGCTCCCAGGACGCAACAATGCCTCGACATTCTGTAGGACACAGCAGCAACAGCAGAATAACAGCTGCTGCACTGTACTGTAGGTGACCAAGTGTGGGCCGTAATATAAAAACAAATCGTGGATACATCATCGCACCGTTTTTCAATCACGCATGACTAGAGCGTAATAACCAAGGTCAAAACTCAATTTGCAGATGCAATATAAATTCCACACCACGGAAATAAGGGACACCAACTGATATCGTTTGGGTGGTAGGCAACGAATATTGTTGAATGTCATCGGTGTGTCATTTAATAATAATACAATAATAAGTATTCATCGTTATTTACCGAGGAAACCCTCGTTTAGTCTCAAGACTTGTTTGCAGGAGGGCCCTGTACTGGTATGTGTGGCTAATTCCGAGAGAGAGTTTAACATGTGGGAGGAAATACAGGTTCTCTGAGAATGCCCATCTCCTCGCACAGGAAGGGGAGACATTCATTATTGCCATATGGTGGTCAATTCAGAGCCTAGCGGCTATAACACCGAGAGAAAGCCCGTGCAAGTGTTAAGCAGGCTCAAAACCCTGCTTTAGCTGACAAGCTCTGAAAACATCACGATGCATTCAGGGAGATGTGGTCGTATATATTGTTGGGCACATCCAAGGTGGACCTGTCAGAATACCAAGACACAAGGTTGTTAAGAGTTACCACCACGTGAATAGATATTAACATTAAAAATTCCAGCACGCAGCAAGACACTCCTGCAATTTCTATCCTAACCAATCCCCCCCCACCCTACACCACCCCGACTGACCGCCAGCTCAATTACAAAAGAGATAAATGGCTGCACCACTGCCTTTCATAATGCTCCACTGTACGACGATGGGAAAAAAGAAGCAATGTTCTGGGTGGGACCAGTTGACAATGATCATCATTATTATCACCGGTCATGATATATTCACTGCTGGATGAAGGCCACGCCAAACCATAGTCATCTCTCGCTGTTGCGATCCTACGATCCATCTCGCGCCTGCACACAAGCCAATTTCATCGCTCCATCAATGCGGCGGATGTCCTCTCAAGCAATGTATCCCCCCTCCTTAGGCTGCCACTCTGCTCCTGGTGTCGTCCACGACCTCTGAGCAACGTGCCCTGCCCAGAGTCCACTTTTTGGTGTAATCGTCTGAGTGATCTCCCAAGTCAACCAAGCCTCCACAGCTCCTTTGCTTAAAGAATTCCCCCGTAGGGCTCCTAACAAATCCGTTATCAGCAAAAAATATTCACAAGCCCTGTTGTGTTTGGCCATGGATTAAAAAACAAAGCCTTTGTTGTGCTCTTGTTCTTCTCGCAAGCTTTCGGGTTTAGGTAATAACGTTGAGTTCTGGCTGAAGTGATGTTGCACACTGTACGGACATGATTTCAAGCACTGTTTGCAGAAGGTAGCAGCTGTATGCAAGTGCTGTCGGTGGGTGCAAGCTTCATTTCTGTTTGTGAGCTGCTGATGACTGCGGAAGCATTGCTGAGACGAGGACATTTCACCGAAGGCCCAGACAACGCAGAGCTCAAATGTGCTCACGACTGCTGAGCACTATGTTTTCCACTACTCTACTGTATGCAGTGCAGGCATAAGCACTAAACCCTCCACACACACACACACAGTGTGTGTGTGTGTGGAGGGTTGTGTGTGCATGGTTATTCCCGTACTGTATTAGCCACTGTGGCTCCAAGGCTTGCATACAAAGTGTGGAGTCACTGCAATGCAACGTTAAGACGTGGGGTCCTTTGCCAATCCACTGCTTGATGAAGGCCTGTCCCCACCCTGTGTTGATACTCGAATGGGGGGGGGGGGGGGGGGTGCGAGTGGGTTTTGTTACACCATTCTTCAACCACGCTGGTTGTACTGTGCTATTCTAAATGTGAATGTACAGCAAACGTACTGTAGACTACTACAGTTATTGTACTGCTCTTGTGTGTGCACGTCATGGCAGCATGTTAAGACTGAGAAAGCATGTTGGAGTACTGTGTGAAAGAACAGTATTTTTTGCATCTTAGTCTTGCGTGCAAACGCCATCTCTTTTTCACACACACCCACCCACTTGCATCGTAATAGGGCATTTCAACAGCACGGTATAGTAATGAGACTACTTCAGTATTATGACATGGAATATAGGTTGCATATTATTACAGTACTGTACTATGTATCCCAAGTCCTGATATAATGGTGGAAATTCCACATTACTTGGACGGGAACCAGTACAGGATACCAACAGGACAATCACACAGAGTACACTACGGCACAGTATTGCCCGACAGTACTCGATAACAGTCTAGATATTTTCGAGTCTTAAGTTGACACAATAATAGTTAAAACGGTGTCCTTTAATAATCCAGGAAAACCTCACCGTGTCTCAGGACTTTTTTTCAGGTGGGCTCTCCATTTGGATATTTGGACGTTTTAATTAATTCTCAAGTTCACGATGTTGTAAAATTACACCATACCAGCAGTTCATGATGCACAGTGGAATCCTGTGCACCGGCCAAGACCACCTCAACCCAAACTCATCTCCAAACACAATCCCAGCTCCTATCCCACACCCAGCTTTCATCCAAAACCCAGCTCCTATCCCAGATTATATCCCAAACCCAGATTATATCCCAACTGTTATGCCAAACTCAAATTTTATCCCAATCCCAAATTCTATCCCAAACCCGACTTCTATCCCAAACCCAGCGTCTATCCCAAACCCAACTTCTATCCCAAACCCATCTCCTATCCCAAACCCAACTCCTATCCCAAACCCAACTTCTATCCCAAACCCAGCTCCACCATCCAAACATGTCTCTCCCATCCCCCACCCATAGCTCACTCGGGCTTGCGTCTGGACTTGTCGACGTAGAGTTCGGAGATCGACACGGACACCTGTCCCAGGAACTTGTCAGGACCCAGCAAGGAGCGGTGCATCACGGACACCACCACCACGCAGCTCTGCAACTCCTGGCGGTGACCTCCTCCTGGCACTCCGTCTCCAACCAGGGCGTCTGGGGGCAACTCGAATGAGCACTCCTCCTTCCATTCGGGATTGGAGCTCTTCTCCAGCACGGACGTGGCATATCGCTCTCGGCCCAGCTCCATGACTGCGAAGGCATCGTTGGTTCCATTCTTGCCCTTTGCACGCAGGCCACGAGCCTGGAGGACGGTGATCTGCACGTGAGTGGGACACCACCTCTGAGCTGCCTGCTCCTCCAGAGATCCAGAAGACATCTTCCTCTTCTTCCCCTCTTGGCTTCTTCAATAACAACACTATGTGGCGGTGTCTATGTATCTAGACAATAGCACTCAACAGTGTAGCTGAACGATGCTGTGTATTGATACTATAATTATCTTAGTATGCTCTTTAGCTTGATATTATAAGCACTTTACCTAAATAAGCGATGCACCTTTGATATGCTATGTAACCTATAGTCATATATTTTAGAGGATTATTCTCAATAGGGTCTTCTTAACTGATTTCAAATATAGTAACACGCCTCTTACAATAACCGCAGTACACTACTGATGTACTCTTCAGTAATAAGTGGTGATGTTGTATAACCACTGTGTACCTATACTGGACGTGGGTATTACATCAAAAATACTGAGTGTTAGGCACGGTGTGTTAATGTGCTGTATAAGACAAAACAATACATATTAAGCCACTTTCTTATCTCTGCTGTTGCCTTTCTGCCTTCGACCGAAATAATCTACATTAAAATACAGCGTTGGTATCTATTTGTGGCCATCCGTCACTACGCCTCGAACTGGCTTGTCTTCCTTCTCTTTATATCCTGCCCCTTTTTGTATTCACTCATCTCTAATAATATTCCCTTCGTGTAATTAAAACAACAAGCACCGCAAGCAGAGAGAGAGAGAGAGGTTCTGGCCACGACTAACAAACACTAAGTTCAATCCGGACGATCATCCTCCCCTTTCGTAGTCTTCCAGATCTTCCTTTGCGCTCTTCCCTATCCAAATTCCTCTCCGCTTAAAGACGCGTTCCGACCGCCTTCCGTATAGCCCGAGCAGAACCCCAAGACGGACAGGAAATATTTCTGTTAAAAAAAAAACAAGAATTACAGTTACAAAGCAGCAAACACGAGTTCGTTCTTAAACTCAGCATCGACGAGAGCGCGGGCACTGATGGAGACACGGGAGTTGATCACTGCGCTCCTGTATCTTGCGAAGAATCAGAATGTCGTCTTCATCTCTGCCCGTGCTGCTGCTGCTGTTGTTGTTGCTTCTCGCTGTCTCTCCAGGCCGCCGTGTTCGCACGTCGACGATAGCATCTGCCGATTGTGCGCAACACGCGCGCACACACGCGTGCATTCACACACTGGGTGGTGTCCGTGTGTGTGCGTCCGTGTGTGTCCGCCCGCTACTTTGCTACCGTCCCACACACAATGCTGTGTTTGTCCGGCTGCCGTAAGCATGTGTGTGTGTCTTGACATGCGCTGCCGACTTAAGGAATGGGGGTGGGAGGGTGGAAAGGGGGTGGTTGGGTTGGGTGGGTGGTGGTTGTTGGTGAGATGATTGCTTGCTTAGCTTACGAGTGGGACTACGGGATATCATGACTTGGGTAGGGGTGTGTGTGTGTGGGTGCTGTGCATGTTGTGTGTGTGGGGGGGTGTCGCAACTTGTTTGTACAGAAAGGGGACAATATAAATGATATAAATAATCCTGTTAACTTGACGTCACTGCCGGCGCCACTGCTCTTCATCTCTGGAGCCACGTGGGTCTCTTGGGACGTTGACCCCTCCCGTTGTTGCGCGGCCCCTTGCCGAATGGCCAAATGTAGAAAGAGGGAAGGGAAACACAGACGTGACGGTGGGGGGGGGGCATTATGCCATACGAGAGCCACGCTATGCAAATCATAAAATAGAGAAGTATTTTTTTTATTTTGCTTATCCGTACAGCATCAGACAAATGCACGTGTTGTGCTTATTCATGGATGCATTCAGATGATATGGTTATTGTCAATAATTAACGTATTCCTAAAGTAATTTACATTTAAATAATATGATTAATACAAAACATTAGTATTAAATCTACACGACAGTATTATAGTTGTACTGGCAATATGAAAAGGAATACGTGCGATATTAAAACAATCACTTGTTACAAGATTGAGTTTATAATGTACTGTACCATGTCAACTGAATGGTCACAGTTAAATAATCGCATTTTGGCGATGCCCTTCATAGCTTTAAACAATTGTCAGTAACGTTCCTAAATGTGTTTTTGTAGATTTATCACCGTATGATATTGGCAATAAGTTATTTATCCAAAACGTGAATTTTGCTACAGGGTTAAATGTGTTATTTGGAACGTCAATTCAATAATTTTGGTATTATCAATGTCGTAAGAGCTAGGTAGTTATGAACCTCTTTGAAGATTATTTGCTAAACTGATGTCGATGAGACCGTATTAAACAATTATCGGGGAATATGTTTTTCATATTCCAAGGTTATTCCGTGTTATTTACTCGCAATGATGTGATAGATGCAATGACTGACCATGCCTTTCACGCCGCATTTCACTTGTTATGAGCTCATACTATTTAATTTTGCAGCAGTTGGTGGTTGCCTTTTTTAATAAAAGAAAAATCAGTGTATCCTTGAAACTTGGACATTGCCGAGGAATTACTGCAGTGTGAATTAACAGAGGCTGCAGCGCGTGTACTGCCTACATATTTTAAGATACAGTCGGGCCGTATTTACCACAGTTTCTTACCCACACCTGGCATGGGGAATTTAGAAAATAAATGTCAGATGGCTGCAGGCTTTGAACAAGTCTAGAGTAGCCTCCTGTGCGTGGGCTTTTCTCATGCACGTCACCGTTCTCGCCAAATGCTGGGAGCAGATGGGGGCCCTTTTGCCAGTAAATTACGGCAGGCTGTGAATTAGGTCTGTGGTAGATTAATATTTTCAAAATTATAGGAATATTATTCTTTTTACTTTCTTGGTAAAAAAAGCAGCAAATTTTGGGGCAAAAGCGATGTTTTCCCAAAAAGGAACGTTATTCAGCTGACTAGCATAACGGTCTGGCAGGGTGAGCAGTGCTCCTGCATGCCATTGCGTGAACGCATTTCACATTCGCATGTGGCATGGAATGGCTCTCTTGGCTCGCAGGCAGGAAAACGCTCATTAATTCAAGTGCATGTCCACTCGCGATCCCTCCGTACAGTATTTGTATGCACGAGGGCGCGGTTGTGCAAACCAGGTTGAATAATTAATTGTCCTCTATATAATATAACATCATTTATTTTATCCAGCAGGCAAATATTTTTTTTGTAATAATGTCGCTATAATTACGTGGCTTCTTGAAAATATAGAAATGTTTGAATAGGTTCTGCATCATTCTTCATTAGTCTAAATTATTTGCACCCGTTTCAGATTGTCTTGCCAGGATCTCGCTGATATGTGGGTAGAGAATTGGCCATAAATATTTGCAGAATATCCTTCACTGAACTGTCCTTTTTGGTATTTATTTCCCTCTGTCAAAGAAAGTACATGGAGGCATGGTAAGAGTGTTTAGTGCCCTGGGTTATGAACCTCAAAAGCTGAGTTTCATTCCCTACCATCGCTAACATCAGTGACAAGTGATATCTGAACCTTCCTCTACCTTGTTCACGAATCAGCACAAACCAATTTGGAGAAGTATGGTCAATCAACCTCCGTGACTGACACATGGTGCGAAAATCTTCACCCAGCAGTGGATTGACAGAGAGATGTACAGTATTCTTTGGTTCTTTCGGTTAAGTCACGTCTAAAGATAAAATAATAAGTTTAATAATAGCATATTACGACGTTTCGATTGCAACACGAGCAATCATCATCAGGCATAAAAGAAATAGCAACAAAAATCTAACTAGAAAACTATAGACAGATTTTGTTGCTATTTCTTTTATGCCTGATGATGATTGCTTGTGTTGCAATCGAAACGTCGTAATATGCTATTATTTAATTGATTTGTTTGAGGGAAATAATTTATTATTTTATCTTTAGACGTGACTTATCCGAAAGAACCAAAGAATAATTCCTGCAGTCACGAAAGCTCCAAAATTAAGAGAGATGTACAGTAATCTATTTGTGTGCTATCCATGGACAGCCTGGCGGTATCTCTGCAATCCATACAGCATCTACTGCCGCCTTGGATTGGTTGAAGGATGTTAACAGTCAACTATGACATCCATACAAACTGTTGCTTACATACCATACGAAAGAAGAAGAAGTCATTTCTTCATAGATATTAAAGAACAAAAATATACGGCTTAAAATGAAAACAGTAATATTTAAGAGGCTTCCTTTGCGTAATCATGCTTTTCAATTATAAAATAAGATTGGGCACTGAATTTACTCTAGTGCCAAATCGCAATCGCACAGGTACAGAAATTAGAGAAATGCAGGAAACTTTAAAAGGTGACCTTTTCATCAGTTACAGTCAATCCAATATTTATATATCGTGCGCTGAACACAGGAAGATCTGCCCTAACTACAGGAAGCATCTGTTTCTCCTTTTAATAGTTGAAGTATTTCCCTCAAACAAATCAAACGGCCATTCCTAGATAATTGCCTTGTATACTATATGCCCAGTGGCATAGCATTGTTGGCACGGGCCCTGGTGCAATGAATAAAATGGGGCCCCGTGTCCAATATCCACCCTCTTCATGGCCTAGTCCATGGGTTCCAGTGCAGTCGCACTGCCTCCACACTCCACAGCTGTCTCACTGACTACGCCTTCTCAGCTAATTCTCCTCCTTTGATCTGAGGTCGTGTGCCTGCGAGCCATTTGCAGTATTCTTGTTTGCAGCAACAACAAAAAATGGACCATATCTATATTTTGTTCACGCTTGGGGCTACATGTAAATGTGGGGTGTTTTTGGTGAATTGAGGTAAAGGGAACAAATACCTCGAGAACAATGGTCCACGTTCAATTGAATCCGCGTGTCTCTTGGCAGATCCATCCGCTATGACACTCGCAAGTGTAAATTCAACGAAAGCTCGGCCGACCATAGACCACGTCACATGGTACTGAGCCACTGTGAACTCCGAAAATTTAACCGAGACAAAGAAGATATCCACCACACCATTGACTAAAGCCATTTGCTGCCCTCCCCCCCTCTCCACCTCACCCGCCACCGGCCACAAACCACTTCATAACCATACTGGCGAGCACGGTGAAGCATACACAAACAATCCCCACGATCAAGGGGTCGGCAACCATAATAACAAGCGGAGGCATTTTTTGTTGTTCGAATTGGGTAACCAAAAAAAACCCACCTCAATATTTCAAAAGCCGCAATGCCACGTGAATCATGTCACGCAGCAATCCCGAAAGAGCAGCACGTGACCCCTGCCCATGTGACGGACACGGTGTGCGTCGATTGGGAGGCCTTCAAACAGCAGCGCATTGACAAAGTCATTAACATGATTTATTCAATGTACATTTTATTTATAAATTGTCGCACACACAAAAAAACACACATTGTCCATCGAAATATTGCACAGTATCACTTTCAATGAGCATTCCTTTAATTGCGGCGAAGTCAGGGAGAGGCATGGTGAAGTATGGACACTTAATCTCTCACCTCCCTCACCACCCCCTCTGAAAACAGGAACTGCTCCGTGCAGCTCACTACCTGCTTGCTCCAAAATTCTTACTCCCTCTTCATCCCCCTCTCATCTCTGACATCTTGGACTCGTTATTCCTTCTCCCCCTCCCTCCTCCTGCCTGCGCTCCTGTTATTTTGCTGCTGCTCATCTTGAACTCTGTCCTCTTTGTCTGCGTTGCGGACTTCCGTCCCAACATCCCCTTCTCTTTGCCGGTCATCTTGCCCCTGTCTGCCCTCATCTTGTCACTTCCCTTTACCGTTCATTCTTCATTTAATTTTATCCTTCACTCGACTCCCCGTCTAGTGCCACGGGTAAAAGGTTATTACTCTTAAATTTCGATTTAACCGTATTATATTGTACATAGATCTCAGTTTCAGTTGATGGGTGGTTCAACATCGAATTTATTTAGATGTACAGCTACCAACACATACTATAGATGACATAATTATTCGTGACACATCCATTCATTGCTTGGCAACGAATAGGATTCAAAATACAATCCCAATGCACAGTTTTCCCAAAAGTAATCGCGCACTGTTTGGGCGCGGTCAGTTACATTCCAGAGCAAATTGTTTACAGTTTCGTTTAAGTGCAGGATTAGCCGTACTTAGACCGCGATGCATACAGCAACTAAGTGTGTAATATTTGTGGATTTAGTGGAAGTGGATAGATGGCAATTGTTCTAATGTTTTTTCCAGCTAGATATTGCTAAAAGAGAAGTACTGTTCATCAACAAAAAGTCCACTCTCAACAAAGACCGGCAAATAATTTGCCACAAACTTGCCGTTGTATATTGATCCTGAGCTCTCGTATTTTCCACACATCTCAACTCTGC